TTGAAAATTAGTTCCTTGACAAAGATGAAAAATGCTCTTGTCTTTCACTTAATTTTGTCAACTCAAGTCTAAAAATGAGCTCTTAGCAAAATATTGCAGGAAAAGGTCATACTTAATCTGCCCAACTACCTTCATCTTTGGCACGTCTAATGCTCAGCAATAGATCAGAACACCTAGTATATGATCAAATATAGTACTGAAAATTCAGTTGGCAATTAAAGTTACTTGGTTGTTTTAGTGATCTATTGAATCAGCTATTCTGACTCTATCCAATGCTCAGAATAGAAGTAAATAATTAAATTTATTTATGAACTGTACAATTAGTGGCCTGGAAAAAGGTCAAAAGACACTTAGACGCTTAAAGGGTAAATGCAAACACACTGGACTGTTACAGTAAACTCTTTTCAGGAATATAAAGCTTAAATTTACATTGTCATATGGTGGGCCATGACTTGTAATTAATGTGGAAGAAATGAAATGTAGAAACTTGGCAAAGACCCCAAATAGTCAATTGTTTGGTGTAAGTATGGCCTTTATCGTATTTTAAGGAGAGAGCCTGTAAATCATTTTCAAAACAGAAAAATCAAGCCTAAACAAGCCTAACTCTTTTGTAATAAAGACCAAAAATATCTTAACATCATCATTTCTAAAAGGAATATTTTACTGCATGTATCAGGCAACATTCCCATGGGAGGTTTTTTTAGGATAGCTTATCTTTAACATTGATGGAATTTTTTTTTTCGCTATTATCTTGCTGTATTTTTTAAATTTAAGATGCACTGCCTTTAGAAAATGTTTTGTTATAAATAGAGAGGTGAACTTATTAAGGGCAAGGGACTATGGCTTCTCCTTGCATTCTTAATACTTAGCATAGTTTCCAGTATAGAGTGACTACATGTCAATATTCATTGAAAAAAATGAGAGTTCCAAAAATGTTTTAGATTGACAACAATATTTTATGAACAAGCTATATTTAGTCATTAATTCTTTTAATGGGAGCAATGCTTATAAGACAAGAATTAATACACTTTATTCCTATAATCTTAATATGTTATTTAAATATTCCCTATCTTACTACAATTTTTAAAAAATCCTATCATACATTTAATCCTAGCAAATAGTTAGATTATTTCTTTCCTGTTTTATTCTGTGACTATAAAAAGTGAATTAAATATTTGCAAACTTGAGTCTAATGTTATATATTTACATTTCAATAGCTTTAAGGAGTATATTTTCATAATGCTATGGAAATAAAACAAACAAAAATTTATTAAAGTGAATATTTTCAAAATTTAAAAAGTGATAAATTCACTATCACAATCCATGTGAGATTCAGAATGACTGTATGGCATATAACAGTGGTATATGAGATAAGAGAACCTATGGGAAAAATCTAGACACACATCAAAAAGCCAGCATCTTAAATGAGTTTTCATGGCAGTTATTGTTTTTCTTTCTAAAATGATCTTTAAGAGTGAAAAACAAAAGGTCTATCAGGTAATCAAAGATATGCATAAATTACCAAAGAAGAGCCCACTAAAATAGAGCTGAATTCAATCACCTCTCCTCTCCACAAAAGTATAAGTGAAGAGGGAGAAAGAGAAACATAACTGCTCTCAGCTCTGTCATAGTGTAAACACATTCTTCAAAATTCTTTGATTTTAGTATTTTGTCCTTACATGATTTTTTAAATCTTTTTAAAAAAAATCTACTGACCATCCAAGAATTTCTGCCTAGTGCTTGTGCTTTTACTTGTGACATAGTTTTCAGAGGAAAACACATACAAGCTTCATTTTTTTCTAACAGTTAAATATTAAGTTGAAAATATATAGTGCATCATATTTTCACAAATATATATATACATCCCTGCTTTTTACTATTTGTAAACATCACTCACTGGCATCAACAAAATAATCTCTCACTTTTTTTCCTGATCTCATTTTCTCCACAACAGGTTTCCATGACAACTTATATTTGAATTTTTATAAATTTCTATTTTTGAATACTATTTTAAGGATAAGAATTTAAAAATATAAAATATAAACTCATTTACCAAATTAAACAGAAAACTTTAGACCCCTAAAATGTATTTTTACCTCATAAATTAAAAGTCATGGAGGAGAGAAACATGCCAACCATAACAAAAGGCAAAATACAGTGTTGCAAGATTCAGCTAATTATCTGGTTCCTATCACTGTTGTTTTAGTCTGCCATTTAGATCACACAATTTAGAAATAAAACATATCCTTTATATAACTGAGCTAATCTCTTCAATATTGGGAAAAGATAAAGAAAATTATGAAATAAGTATGACAAGTTGAAAAAGAAATTCAGATAGTTAAAATTCTTCATATCAAGTATTTCAATACAAGATGAACTGATGTTAAAAAGAATGCCTATAAAAGTTTAAATTCTTAACTTCTATTAATATTGAGACTTATGATAATACAACAGTTGAAGCAAACCATTTGATAATTGATTTGGGTTTCCTTAGATTCATGTCCATGCAAAATATTTTATCCTGTGTAATCATATTTATCAAATTAGTCAGATAGCATTAAGTCAGGTTATCACCTAAGCTAAAAGTGTTTAGATGAAAATATTAAATCACTTTTAAATATAATGGTGACTTCTTCTGGTTACTGGAAAAGGGATTTCCCTAAAGACAAGCCCACAAAATAAAGCAAAACATTAAATACTGATTGGTCAATAAAAATAGAAAGTTCAAAAAGGATTCATGTTAAGAAGCCAAGTTCCATATTTTTAATCTGTTGTTAAGTGGTGTAGGGTAAAAATTCTGGGAGCCAAAGTCCTGGAATATATATATTTAAAAAGTCATAGATGACCTTTCAAAGTTAGAATTCTAGTGAATGTCTTATGCTGCATTAAATCTCAAGAGCAACGCAGTCTGCAGAGATTTCACAGTCCAGACAGTCAGTTATTATCAGTAGTTTGGGTGGAAAAGGCCTGAGGAGGATGTCATGAGACCTCTAGAATAATTTTGGCTTTGCTATTAACTTGATATATGACCTTGGCCATCACTTAACGTCAGCAGTCTTCACTTTCCTCATCTACAATATAAAGGGTCTTGATAGTGTGACCTCAAATAAATGTTTGAGGTCTATGATTTCTAGCGGATTCTGCTTCTACTTGCTCTTTGACTTTGTGTTAATCTCTAACTTATCTGTGTTCTTTTCTCATCTAAAATAGATGCAAATCAAATCCTCAATATTATTACACTGAAATCTTAGTAAAGATACCATTTTCAAGTCAATGGTTTATCATCTTGACCAGTAATCAATAGAATCAAATTTCATAGCAATGATAAAAGCTGAACACCTTAAGGCTTTTGCTATGCAAACTGGCCTACAAATAAAATGTATTATGTTATTATATTGAAAGATAAAAAACATCCTGTCTTTTTGTAGCACATGAACTGGGAAAAAAAACCAAAAAACATGATGGGCCGAAAGCAAATTCAGGTTATCTTTTTAGCCACCACGTGGAAAGAGTTTCATGCCATTTAACTGGAATCCAAAAAACACAGATGTAATGGTCATGAGACGTGATTTAATTTAAATATACACTTTTTTTCTGAATGTCAACTCTTGCTGCTGAATTTATAGAAGGGTCTTAAAAGAAGGATTTCAGAGTTGAAGTTATTAATTCTATGTTCAAATACGTAAATGTGGACATGCTGGATTTTATGTATGCATTTAAATGCCAGATCCAAAAGAGTAGCAATACTTTAAATTGTCTCTTTTATATTCTTCTTCACACTGAAAACAAAACATATCCCCAGACTTCCAAAGTAGTATCAGAAGCACATCTTCTGACAAGTTTGTGGATAGATGGCTACATAATATCTCAGATGCAGACACTTCTGACATGCAGAAGAAGAAAATAATGAGGATAGAGCCAAAGTTAAGTTGGGTGAATTCCCATTCTGCCCAGGGGGTGTCTTTTCTGGGTGTCAGAAGCAAACCAGACACATGCAGTTGCAAAAATTTAACTAAATACAGTCCTCTGTTCTCACATATAATTAAAAACCACTCACATACTGTATAATTTTTGGTTATTTATATTTCTTTTATTTTCTTTAAGCTGGAGATACCATTATTGGATACTTTTAGTCCCTTCATGGAATTTTGAAGAATTAATTGGGAGTGCCAAAGATTAAATTTAAGATGTCACTTAAAGTATAGAAACCAAAAAGAAAATTGAGGCTGGGACCAGAGCATAACAAGTAAAATAAAATTTGCTACAATCTAAATTACTCAGATTTAGATCACCAAGGTGGCGAATTCACGTTCAACCTGTAAGGAACAGAGACACGGCCCAAGGGGAAAGACAAAAGGCTCAAAAAGTCAGTGTGTTGGAAGGCTCTTGGGTCAACTCACTGCAACAGCACTCGAAGGACTCTCGTCCCTTGGAATGAGACAGGCCCACACCGCATCCTGGAGATTCTCTTCACCAAATGAACTTTCTGGCACACCTCCCCTCGCCCCCAACTCAGCCACATGCACGCATTCCATTTCCCTTTAATTAGAGTCTCTGCTCTGGGTGAGTCAGATGTGGAGGAGCCTCACTGAAAAATGTCAAATAGGGATGGCAGGACGCTGGAAAAGACATCCAAGCTAAAGGAAAAGTTAGAACAAAAGAGTGAGGGAAGAGCTCATGATGAGTCGCCATACCGGTTTCAGGACAAGGTCCCAGAAGGCTTGCACAGAGAAGTCCACATTTGCCCTTTGGGTCCCCTCCGCTCAAGTAAACCTGTTTGAATTGGGAGAAGGGGGGGGAGAAAGTGGGGTAGGGAGGCGAGGCTGGGATCCCTCGGTTTGCTCCGCACCGGATGAGCCTTGACCCCAGGGCCAGGAAGCCCCAGCTCTCCGCTCCCCTCTCCCCCGCATCCCAGAGGCCCCCCGGCGGAAAAGAAGAGAAAGTGGGGGAGGGAGTGGAGAGAAGACGGGAAGCAGGGGAGGGGACCATTCTGGCCTTACCCTGGCAGCTCTGGACGAGTAAGGGTCTTCGAAGAGGGCCCACATGCGGGGCTGCAGCCTCCTCCAGCGGCCGGACTTGCCGTCGGGGCCTCCCAGCCCCGCCGCGTCCTCGATGCCCAGCCTCTTGGCCGCCAGGTCCTCGTCGTCGCCGGGGTCGCCGCCGATGAGGTCGGGGGTCTCGAAGATGTCCAGGGCCTCCTCGGCGTCGCGGTGCTGCCGGTAGGTCATCCAGCAGCAGGGCTCCACGTCGGTCTCGTCGATGCCCCAGAAGGCCAGCTCCTCTTCGAAGAGCGGCCCGCACACGTCGGCGGGGCAGTGCAGCTTGCCGGTGCGGTAGTAGTTGAGCACGTAGGCGAAGACGCCCGGGTGCCGGTCGAAGAAGAACTCGCGGCCGCCCCCGGGGTGGTCGCCCCCGCCGCC